CCCCCCCTACATGCTCCTTACGACTCTGTTGGACCAGCAATTCCTTCTGGTTGAACTTTGAAGACGTGGGGAAGGAGACCCTCAGAGTATCCTCTCCACACCACCTATGATTCCAAAAGCTAATTATTCTCCTTCCATCTCCCACCCGGTAAGAGATGTTGCCACTGAAGGATTCCCAATTCTTCATTATGCTCCTCCACATGCCACACCCGAAAGGTGTTGTGATTGCCTTGGTCCTCCAACCCCCTCCCGTGGAATCGTACTTTTCTACTATGACCTCCCTCCATAAAGCATGCTCTTCTATCCTGAATCTCCACAGTCATTTCCCTAACAAAGCTCTATTGAATACCTTAAGATCTTTTACTCCAAGTCCACCCCACTTTTTCGGGGAAGTGATTGTCTGCCAATTCACTAGATGATACTTTCTAGTTCCATTCGCTGCATCCCAAAGAAAATTCCTTTGAAGTCGCTCCAGTTTTTATGTGATGCTCACAGGAGCTTGCAACAACAAGGACAACTAATAGGTGGGCATACTCGATAAAGTGCTTTAATAAGCACTTCCTTTCTGCCTTTTGACAAATACCGTTTCTGCCAGCCTGCTAATCTTTTTTCAACCCTTTCGATCACAAGATTCCAAACCGTAATATCCTTATGCGAAGCGCCCAATGGGAGACCCAGGTAAGTAGTGGGAAGGGAGCCCACCTTACATATGAGAATATAAGACAAAGCATCAATGTTAGCAACCTCACCCACCGGGAAAATCTCACACTTGCCGAGGTTGATTTTGAGACCTGACACTATCTGAAACCACTGTAGGACATGCTTCAGGTAGGTCAACTGATCCATATCGGCATCAGAGAAAACCAGGTTGTTATCCACAAAAAGCAAATGAGAGACTCTTCGAGCACTGGGCACCCCGATCGGAGCAGAGAATCCTCTCAAGAAGCCTCCGCCCGCCGCTCGATCCATCATTTTACTTAAAGCATCCACCACTAGAATGAATAGCATGGGGGATAGGGGGTCGGTCTCCTTGCCTGAAACCCCTGGAGCTGCCAAAGAAACCACACGGGCTACCATTAACCAGGACAGAGAATCTGACTGAGGAAATGCAGAACTTGATCCATCCCCTCCATCTTGCCCCAAACCCCATCCGCATCATAATGAAATCCAGGAACTCCCAATTGACATGGTCGAAAGCCTTCTCAAGGTCTAACTTGCATAGTAAGACGGGATCTCTATTTTTTCTTCTGGAGTCTACAAGTTCATTTGCCACCAAAGCGGCATCCAGAATCTGCCTACCTTCCACAAACGCATTCTGGGAGGACGAAACAGACACGTCAAGAACCTTCTTGAGTCTATTGGAAAGCACTTTAGAAATAATCTTGTAAATACTCCCCACGAGACTAATAGGCCTGTAGTCACTAATACAAGATGCACCTTCTTTCTTAGGCACAATAATAATAAAAGAAGCATTGATACTTCTCTCGAAAACACAATTCACATGAAGTATTCAATGGCTTCCATCATTTACCCCTTGAGGGTGTCCCAACAGAGCTGGAAGAAGGCTAAAGATAAATCATTAAGGCCGGGAGCTTTATCACCAGCACAACTCCACACAGTCTTGTGCACCTCCTCCTCCTCGAAAGCCCTTTCTAGCCACTCGTTGTCTCCCTCCCCTATGTGGTTGAACTCTATTCCCCCCAAAGTCGGCCTCCAACTAACTTCCTCTTTGTATAAATTCTCATAAAACCCCATTGTCGCCCCTTTTACCTCCTCCTCTCCCTCAATCCTCACCCCATCCACAACTAAGGACTCTATGAAGTTTCTCCTTCGATTTGCAACCGCCACCCTGTGGAGAAATTTGGTATTCGAGTCCTCTTCCTTTAACCATAGCGCCCTCTATTTTTGCCGCCAACTAGTCTCCTGAGTTATTGCTAACTCGAATATTTCCCTCTTAACCTGCCCCAATCTCTATTTCTCAGATTCATCTAGCTCCCTCGCCCCTTCCCCTCTCTAGATCCCCCAATTCATGCATAAGCTCCCTCATTTTAACCTCTACCCTCCCAAAAACCTCCTTATTCCACCTAATAATATCTCCCTTGAGCAATTTAAGTTTCTTCGAAAGACGAAATGAAGGTGTCCCTGATACCCCGTAGCTTGTCCATCATTCTTTCACCTTGTCACCAAATCCTGGCACCTTCAACCACATGTTCTCGAATCGAAAGGGAGCACGCACCCCCCTCCCTCTGCATCCATCTAGCAAGATAGGCAAATGATCCAAAGTCAACCTAGGTAAAGGAATCTGCAGCACATTCGGCACCAGCTCATCCCAGGAGGGCGATATCAGAAATCTATCAAGTCTAGACCTTGAGTTAGAATCCTCCGCCCTGGCCCAAGTAAACATTTCCCCTGACAGAGGAAGATCAATGAGAAAGTGATCATTGATGAAGTCAGAAAACTCCTCTATGGCCCTCGAAATCATACTACACCCTAATCTCTCCTCCGGGAATCTAATAGTGTTAAAGTCTCCCCCTAGAACCCATTGGCCTCTCAATCAGTTGGACATTAAGAATGTTTTTCTTCACGGTGACCATGAGGATGAGGTTTATATGGAGCAACCACCTGGTTTTGTTGCTCAAGGGGAGTCTAGTGGTCTTGTATGCCGGTTGCGCCGGTCCCTCTATGGTCTAAAGTAGTCTCCTCGAGCCTTGTTTGGTAAGTTCAGCACAATTATTCAAGAGTTTGGCATGACTCGTAGTAAAGTTGATCACCCCGTATTTTATCAACATTCTGCTTTAAATCTCTGTATTTATCTGGTCGTTTATGTTGACGATATTGTTATTACCGGCAATGATCAGGATGGTATTAGTAAGTTGAAGCAACATTTCTTTCAGCACTTTCAGACTAAGGATCTGGGCAGATTAAAGTATTTTTTAGGTATTGAGGTCGCTCAGTCTAGCTCAGGTATTGTGATCTCACAACGGAAGTATGCCTTAGACATTCTTGAGGAGACAGGAATGACAGTTTGTAGACCTGTTGACACTCCGATGGATCCGAATTCTAAACTTCTGCCAGGACGGGGAGCCTCTTAGCGATCCTGCAAGATATAGGCGGTTGGTTGGTAAATATTACCTCACAGTGACTAGACCTGACATTTCCTTTCCTGTGAGTGTTGTGAGTTAGTTTATGGATTCTCCCTGTGATAGTCATTGGGATGCAGTTGTCCGCATTCTTCGGTATATAAAATCAACTCCAGGCAAAGGCTTATTGTTTGAGGATCGAGGCCATGAGCAGATTGTTGGATACTCAGATGTTGATTGGGCAGGATCATCTTCTGATAGACGTTCTACGTCTGGATATTGTGTCTTAGTCGGAGGAAATTTGGTGTCTTGGAAGAGCAAAAAACAGAATGTGGTTGCTTGGTCTAATGCAGAAGCAGAATATCGAGCAATGGCTATAGCGACATGTGAGCTAATTTGGATCAAACAGTTGCTCAAGGAGTTGAAATTTGGTGAGATTAGTCAGATGGGACTTGTGTGTGATAATCAAGCTGCTCTTCATATTGCGTCAAATCCAGTGTTTCATGAGAGAACTAAACACATCGAGATTGACTATCACTTTGTTAGAGAAAAGATACTCTCAGGAGATATTGCTAAAAATTTTGTGAAGTCGAATGATCAGCTTGCTGATATTTTCACCAAGTCCCTCACTGGTCCTCGTATTAGTTATATATGTAACAAGCTCGGTACATATGAGTTATATGCACCAGCTTGAGGGGGAGTGTTAGTTTGATAGTTATATAGTAATAAATAACCATAATCCCATATGTATTAGAAGTAGGACATGTATTATATATATAGGGCTCATTGTATCATTGTCAATATTAACCAATATAAGATTTTTCTCCCATGTATTCTCACAGTACCAAATACCTATTTAACTGCTACAAATAGGCTCAGGTTTGCAACTAAATATAATTCCTCCACATGCTTTAAAACCGTGGAAGCACATCATCATTTTCCATATCAACAAACATGAAATTATACATTAATAACAAAAACAATACACAAAAGAATTTGTGTATATATGTGTGTGTGTTTGTGTATATGCATGTGTGTGAGCTTAACAAAGTATTAAAAGATATGTAAAAGTACTAAAGAAGAAATCTCAGTTTAGAAAAATACCAAGTTGGTAGAAAGCATATTCAGAGCAGGTGTGTGTTTGTGTATATGTGTGTGTGAGAGAGCTTAACAAAGTATTAAAAGATATGTAAAACTACTAAAGAAGAAATCTGAGATTAGACAAATACCAAGTTGGTGGAAAGCATATTCTGAGCAGGTACTATCCCAACAACATTGTTGGAAGCAAGACCCTCGTGAGATGGGATCCTGTCTCTCCTCTCCCAATTTGCAACAACAGACCGTGTCCTTGCTAATTTAACAAAAATAGTGTACTAAGTAACGTTCATAGGAATGTTCAGCAACAGACTCAAGATTAAAGAGAAAATTTACCTCTTCTTTGACCTTCTATGGGATAAGCACTCCTACTAATGACATTTCCACGTGTTTCATCTGAAACAAAATTGCCAGATTTCATAAACTATATCTACTCCACAATCCGCATTATTCAAGAAAAGAAAAAGGGATAAAGAAAATTCCATCTGCTAATTACAACATAACAACAACAACAATGAATCGATCGCGAACTAGTTTGGCTCAGCTATACAAATTTGTCTCCACTTAGGTCAATTTCGATCCAAGAGGTAAAAGGTCCAATAAACAATGACACTTACCTTCCAAGAAATCCCATAAACAGAAGAAAACAATAAAGTGCAGCGAAGATCAGTAAAAAGCATAAATAAACCATTCAAAGAAAAGAAGTGTCTTCTCCTTGTACAGCAATGATGGTGAAGGCCACCAATCTATAAGGGAAACAACTGGGAGACCAAATTCTAGCACCGTGTATTCTTCTAGGAATATAAGTAACCGCAAGAACAACAAAAAATATTAATCGAGTTCAGACAAGGCAGGCATTGACATAAAAGGCAGCATGAACATTGTTCGGTGACAAATATCTATATATATACACACACACATAATGTGTGTGCGTTTGTAGAATCAATGGCAGATGCAGGATTACTAGAGAGGGGCAATTTTCTACATATAGAAATGGTTAAGAAAATGATCACAAATTTCCCAAAATTTAATAATTTTGAAGGGTGAGCATATTATGAAAAAGTCAGGGGGCTTCCTGTATACAACCATAATTTATGACAAATATTTCATTAGCAGCTAATATTACTATCCATTTGTTCTACTAGTAAAAGAGTCCACTTGGTACTGCTTTTCAAGGATTCATATACAAGTTCTACCACTCAAAGGTTAATAAATAGTGGATGGCAACAAAAAGAAATAAATGAAAAGGCTATTTCATAGCACAAACACATATAGAACAACAATAGGATAGACGAAAGTAATCACTAAATGTCAGTATTTGATAAAAAGAAAATGGCTGACAAGTTAATACGCACAATTTTCATTTTGGTTTCCAGAAAATAACTCAGGTACTGAATGCGTTTCAAGTTTTGCTGAGACCAGACTCTTGTCATCCTTCACATTCTTCTCAGTTGCTGCAGCTACAGCAATTACTGAAGGGAAATTGTTCTTGTCTGCTGTACTACTGAATTCAATAACCTTGGGGACTTCAATGTCAAACTGTGACACAGCATTTGGTTTCCCAAGGTCTTCCTTGAAAGTTGGAAACCTCCGTGAATCGGAGACTTTTGTCTGCAATGACTGCTGCATTGCCCTTGTTGCAACTCCTTCTTTCCTGGGTTCAGATACTTGCTCCATTCGGTCATTATTTCTTGGAACAATAATGGGTATGACCTCTGACCTATTGACAATGGAAGAATTAGCTGCTGATTGGGCTTTAGCTGAATTCCTCTTCAGACCAGTTGTATTAGGAAATGCTGTGGTGTTAATTGGAGGTGCTTTTGCACCAACACTCAGATTTATTCTTTGAGGAGTGCCAGGTGCACTTGCAGTAGCTTCATTGAGAAGATAAGTGAAGACTGTCAGAACTTTCGGGGAGCCAAACCCAGAGAAGGAAACAAATAAAAATGCTATCAGCTAACAAAATGGGAGGAAATAAAAGAATCTCGACACAAGGTACCAAGCTAACAAATATACGCAAACGAAAAAGGTATTAAAAAAAAAAAGATAAATAGCATACTAGTAAGGGTCCTAGAATCTCTTTGAAGCTCCAAGTTTTGTGATACTGAAAGTCTTCCAAAAGATTTGGTCTCTTTAACAGGATCACAATTTTGAGAAATCAAGAGTCTACCAGAACTGGCTTTGGTACCATCATCCGCCAGATTGGATAAATTCCCACCCGAATTCGGTTTTACATCAGGGTGACCATTTAATCGAGCAGTATTACCCATTGCATATGGTTCAAGACGCTGCATGAAGAAAGCATGAAACAAATTAAACCTTACTTCAAAATCATAACAAGAAGTATATCGTCAAAGATGACTCCAATCAAAAGAAAACTTTTTACCGAAATATCCACAACCCACACTCCAACACAACTTTGATTGTAAGAGCAGCCAAGGAGTTTCTCTTCATGAATATTAAGATCCGACAGCCGAGACCATCCAACATCTACTGTATCATGACATCTAATTGGTTCCCAAGAGCATACCTACAAAAAAAAGGAGCAATTTTTAAGGAAACAACATAAATGCCACAATACATGGAACAACAATTTCTGAAGGAACAGCAAATACCCAAGACTACCTTCAAACTCTCATGCAAACCACAGAGAAGGGTTCTCCCATCGGGATTGAAGGTCATACAACGCACCCCTGATGTCTAGAATTGAGATAAACAAATAGTTAAGCTTTTTACAATCCCTAGACTTCCAAGAAACATGAGAAGCACTCAGAAGCAATATTGTTTTGATTTATTGAAGATGAAAACTGCGAACAAAGAGAAGATGCAAAAAGGATAAAAAGATTAACCTCAGGACCAGCTGAACCTATGAGCTCAAAGGTTTCTAGGTCCCAGAATTTTACCGTTCTGTCGGCAGAACCTGGTGAAGAAAAAGAACAAGAACAAACAATGAGGCAACTTATTGCTATGATGATCAGAATCAATACAACACCTAACAATGAAGATCTCTTTTTATTCGTTTGATCCTCCCACCACCACCATCCCAATCCCTGCTTTCATTGGGTTGTCAGTATTACTAGCTTTCCACTAGATATGCAACAACGATAAACCCAGTTTAATCCCACAAGTAGCGGCTGGGGAGGGTAGTGTGTACGCAGACCTTACCCCTACCTATAAAGGTAGAAAGGTTATTTTCGATAGACCCTCGGCTCAAGGAACAGTAAAAACAAAGCAACAAACAATAGCAGCAACAATGTAATAGGGTAACGGAAGCGAATGACACAACATGTAATAAAGAACCAGGAATAAGAGAATACAAGAATAGTACTAGTACTATTAGTAAGCCTAGGAGAAACTCACGACTACCTGTCAACCTACAACCCTAATCCTCGACCTCCACACCTTCCTATCGTGGGTCATGTCCTCGGTAAGCTGAAGCAATGACATGCCTGCCTAATCACCTCTCCACAATTCTTCTTTGATCTACCCCTACCCTTTTTCAGGCCCGCCATGGTCAACCTCTCACACCTCCTAACCGGGGTATCTATGTATCTACTCTTCACAATGTCCGAACCATCTCAGTCTCGATTCCCACAACTTGTCCTCCACGGAGGCCACTCCTACCTTGTCCCTAATAACTTCATTCATAATCTTGTCTTTCCTGGTATGTCCACACATCCATCTCAACATCCTCATTTTAGCTACTTTCATCTTCTGGACATGGGACTTCTTGACGGGCCAACACTCAGCTCCATTCAACATAGTCAGTCTAACCACCACTCTGTAGAACTTGCCCTTAAGTCTAGGTGGAACATTCTTATCACACAAAACTCCCGAAGCAAGCCTCCATTTCATCCACCCCGCTCCAACGCGATCATCCTCGTCAATCTCCCCGTTGCCTTGGATTATAGACCCAAGATACTTGAAACTATCTCTTTTGCGGATGACTTGAGTAACAATCTTCACATCCAATTCTGGTTCATGCATCCCATCACTGAACTTGCACTCCAAGTATTATGTTTTCGACCTACTCAACGTAAAACATTTAGACCACAATGTATGTCTCCAAACTTCCAACTTAGCGTTAACTCTGCCTCGCATCTTGTCAATCAGTACCATGTCATCAACAAATAGCATACACCATGGCACCTCCCCTTGTATGTGTCATGTCAGCACATCCAACGCTAGGGCAAACAAAAACGGGCAACCCCATCTCCATCTCCACTGGGAAATGTTCTGAGTCTCCTCCTGCAGTCCTCACCCGAGTCTTAACTCCCTCAAAAATGTCCTTAATCACCATAATGTACGCTACCGGGACAACACTAACCTCCAAACATCTTCATAGAACCTCCCTCGGGACTTTGTCATAAGCTTCAAGGTCAATAAACACAACATGCAAGTCCTTTTTCCTCTCCCTATACTGCTCCACCAATCGTCTCACAAGGTGAATGGCTTCTGTAGTTGACCGTCCCGGCATAAATCCGAACTGGTTCTCGAAAATAGATACACTTCTCCTCATCCTCCTCTTCACCATCTTCTCCCAACCTTTCCTAGTGTGACTCACCACCTTTTCCACTAGATATGCATACTTCAAATAAAAAGAACCATTTAGTTTCTTTTTTTTGTGTGTTTAGTAATGATAGGACCTTTTAGTTTCTAGAAACTTCATATAATAGTTCACAAATTCCTATTATCCTTCCCCTTTTCTGGACTGCCATTTCAATCATGAAAGTAAAGCATCCAGCAAATTCAACACCCAGTAATTACACAAATATGTAGCATCACTATTCAGTGAGGTCTTAGTCCATTTTCACACGAGACTCTGCAAGAAACTCAGAATCACATGTTTTCATCTTGCACTTGGGAAAGGAAGGCCTATATTGATTTGAACTATCTCCCCTAGGATGACTATTTGGAAGAAAACTTTCTAAGTATCAAAGGCCCCTTGGAATGTACAGCAAAATAAGAAAAAGCAATTCCATAGGTAATCCCATAACATAGACCACAAGGATACCAAGAAATCACTATATGTATGGATAAGCTGAATAAGCCAGCCAAGCCTCGAAGGATTCTACTATTTTGTACAGATGAAGTAGCCCAAAAATTCACCAGTCATCATGATGTACGTTCAAAGTTTTGCACCTCTCAAGTACGAAGAAGCGAGAAAAACAAAGCACCCCGCTAAAGTTTTTCACAAAACTATAGAAAGTGTTCTTCAAACTCACGTTAGAAGAATGTAAAATGAAAATAAACCTCACCCCCACGTTCTTCAATCCCGCAAGATTGCAAGAACCGTTGAATAAAGGAAGAACAGTGAAATAAAAAGTAAATCACGTTTTTTGAAGCAAGAGCTTAGAATACTAATCACCCGTCATTATTTTCAGCTTATTAAGCCCTTTAAATAGGTTTTACAATGAGTAAAATTGATGAAGTTGAGGAAAACTAATCCTAAGTAAACGAGAATAAGAATAAGGGTAAGAAAAACATATCCTAACTAAAATAGAAAAGAGAATTCTAGTAAGGATGGGATACCAACTAACAATCCTATTTTGACTAGAACTACAAATATAATCCTACTAAAATAAGAATTAAATTGCTAGAAAACAAGAAATAAGAAATCCTAATCTTCAAGGAAAAGAAATTCTAATCTTGGATGGATTCTTGGACTTCTTGAATTTCTTGGATTCTTGGCCTTCTTGATCTTGCATCATTCTCCCCTAGTTGAAAAAACTCATCCTTTGAGTCTAACAACTTCCATAAATGGCGCAAGATTTGCTATAATAAAGAATGAGGACCCAATGCTCACCAGGTTTCAAGTTACACTTTGCTAGCTTATCATAGAGCTTCTTCACATTGTAAGAAAACTTAGCATGTTGTCGAACTAAATCCCACTTTCTAAGTTTCAACTTTCTACTATGCCTTCTCCGTGTAATCATTCTATATTGACTATCAAACTTCAACTAACGATATGAAGTTATTGGTGTTAGAACTTCATGAAACTTAGCCAACTCCATGTCTAGCTATGAATTAAGCATGGAGATCAACGCTCTTCTTGGGAATGCATTAATTGCATCGCTTGTATGCCAATAGTGATTTTGATGATAGCCATACATATTTATGACGTGAGGACATCTAGTTTCTCCAATACATGGACTCAAACTCTCCATTATCCACTCCTTTTTAGGTAATCTTTCCTCTTGTTTATGCATATTTTTATGGACTTTAGGATTGATGCAATATGCTGACTTGTTTGGCATCTCTGAAAGGCGAAAAGTCAACGACACACATGGCTGGTTAATCCAATGGATCGTCATAAAACTTTGGTGGTAATTCCTCAAGTTTTGGATCCAATGCATGTTCCTCATCTCTTTGATATTGGTCTTTATTAGCTTTATCCTCTTCACTACCTTGATTATCTGAATATTTATCATCTTGGACAAAGTGCATTGGTACTCTTATGCCTTGGTTAGCTTCAAACTCTTCACCTTTCTCAATATATCTTGCTTTATGTGGTTGAATTAGTGGATATCGAAGTGGTAGACGCAGTAGGTGTAGACGTTGTGGCGGATTTGGTAGTTGATTTTGAAGCACCAAACCTTCAACCAAGTCAGAGGGTGTTTGGATTGGCTTATAAAAAGTAGCTTTTATGCTAAAAGCCATAAGTTGGTAATACCCAACTTTTGGCTTTTGGCTTATTTTTGTACTTTTCATGCCTAAAAGTAAGTGCTTTTAAGCACTTTTTATCATTGCCAAACACCACACAAACTAAAAAAGTGTTTAAAAGACAATAAGCACTTAAAATAAGCCAATCGAAACACCATCTCAGTGAGATACTTCATTGATTCCGTCAAGCTATTTAACTGCACTTTAATTTCTTCATTGTCTCGTTCAAGGACTGTAGTTCTTAATTACTTATGTGAGAAAGCACGGGAAAAAATATTATTGATATTATTCTCATATGTTAAACATGATACAATAAGCCCTATATATATACATAACATGTCCTACTCCTAATACATATGGGATTAGGGTTATTTACTATTCCCTCTGTTCCAGTTTATGTGAACCTATTTCCTTTTTGGTCCGTTCCAAAAAGAATGAACCCTTTCTAAATTTGGTAACAATTTAGCTTAAAGTTATAATTCTACCCTTAATGAGAAGCTTTTATAACCACACAAATACTCTGGGCCCCATTTGGACTTGTTTAGGACCACAAATTCCAAAAGCCTTCATTTTGTTTCTTAAATTTCGTGCCCAGTCAAACAAGTTCACATAAATTGGAACGGAGGGAGCACTATTTTGTATTTACATAAATATTCTAACACTCCCCCTCAAGCTGGTGCATATAAATCATATGTACAGAGCTTGGTACAATATGTAGTTAATACGAGGGCCAGTGAGGGACTTGGTGAAAATATCTATCGACTTCACAAACTTTATAGCAATATCTCTCGAGAGTATCTTTTTTCTGACAAAGTGACAGTCAATCTCAATGTGTTTGGTTCTCTTATGGAACACTGGATTTGACGCAATATGAAGAGCAGCTTGATTATCACACACAAGTCCCATCTGACTAATCTCACCAAATTTCAACTCCTTGAGCAACTGTTTGATCCAAATTAGCTCACATGTCGCTATAGCCATTGCTCGATATTCTGCTTCTGCACTAGACAGAGCAACCACATTCTGTTTCTTGCTCTTCCAAGATACCAAATTTCCTCCTACTAAGATACAATATCCAGAAGTAGAACGTCTATTAGAAGGTGATCCTACCCAATCAGCATCTGAGTATCCAACGATCTGCTCATGGCCTTAATCCTCAAACAATAAACCTTTGCCTGGAGCTGATTTTATATACCGAAGAATGCGAACAACTACATCCCAACGACTATCACACGGAGAATCCATAAATTGACTCGCAACACTCACAGGAAAGGAAATGTCAGGTCTTGTCACTGTAAGGTAATTTAATTTACCAACCAACCACCTATATCTTGTAGGATCGCTAAGAGGCTCCCCCTATCCTGGCAGAAGTTTAGAATTCGGATCCATCGGAGTGTCAACAGGTCTACAACCTGTCATTCCTGTCTCCTCAAGAATATCTAAGGCATACTTCCGTTGTGAGATCACAATACCTGAGCTAGACTGAGCGACCTCAATACCCAGAAAATACTTTAGTTTGCCCAGATCCTTAGTCTGAAAGTGTTGAAAGAGATGTTGGTTCAATTTAGTAATACCATCCTGGTTATTGCCGGTAATAACAATGTCGTCAACATAGACCACCAGATAAATACAGAGACTCGAAGCAGAATGCCGATAGAATACAGAGTGATCAGCTTCACTCCGAGTCATGCCAAATTCCTGGATAACTGTGTTGAACTTACCAAACCAAGCTCGAGGAGACTATTTTAGACCATAAAGTGACCGGCGCAAGCGACATACAAGGCCACGAGACTCCCCCTGAGCAACAAACCCAAGTGGTTGCTCCATATAAACTTCATCCTCAAGGTCACCGTATAAAAAAGCATTCTTAATGTCCAGCTGATAGAGGGGCCAATGGCGAACAGCAACCATGGGTAGAAAAAGGCGGACTGATGCTATCTTAGCCACGGGAGAGAAGGTATCACTGTAATCAAGCCCAAATATCTGAGTATATCCCTTGGCAACAAGACGAGCCTTAAGACGATCAACCTTATTATCCGGACCAACCTTGACTGCATACACCTAACGACAACCAACAGTAGATTTACCTGAAGGAACAGGGACGAGCTCCCAAGTACCACTCGTATGTAAAGCAAACATCTCGTCAATCATAGCTTGTCGCCATCCTGGATGAGACAATGCTTCACCTGTAGACTTAGGGATGGAAACAGAGGACAAAGAAGATAGAAAAGCATAATAGGGTGATGGCAAACGGTGATAACTTAAACCAACATAATGGGGATTAGGATTAAGGGTGGTCTGTATACCTTTCCGAAGTGCAATCGGTGTACTAGGAAGAGACAAGTTCGCAGTTGGAGCAGGGTCAGTGCAGGACGTGAATCAGCTAGGCCTGATGCTGGGTGCGGACGACGATAATATGTCAAGAGTGGTGTTCATGTGACGGGGAGTCTAAGAGGAGCCATACTAGACTCTCCAACGGTAGGAATGGGTAAGACTTCTGTGGCGGAAGGTGAAGGAGGAGCTATAGTAGACTCCTTAAATGTCGGTATAGGTAAGACCTCAAATATATCAAGGTGGTCAGAATGGTCAGAAGAGGTAAAGAAGGTTTAGGCTCAAAAAATGTGACATCAAAGGACATAAAGTACCTACGAAGATCAGGTGAGTAACAACGATATCCCTTCTGAACACGAGAATAACCAAGGAAGACACACTTGAGAGCACGAGGAGCTAACTTATCTTTCTCAGGGGCTAAATTATGAACGAAACAAGTGTTTCCAAAAACACGAGGGGGAACAAAGTATAAGGGTGACTGGGGAAACAATACTGCATACGAAATCTGATTCTAGATGGGAGATGAAGGCATCCGATTAACCAAATAACAAGCTATGAGAACTACATCGCCCCAAAAACGCAACGGAACATGAGATTCAATGAGAAGTGTGCCAGCAGTCTCAATAATGTGCCTATTCTTTCTCTCTGCAACCCCATCTTGCTGAGGGGTATAAGGACAAGAGGTCTGATGAATAATTCCTTGAGAAGTCATAAACTGCTGAAATTGAGAGGATAAATATTCTAAGGCATCTCACTGCGAAAAGTGCGAATAGAAACACCAAATTGATTTTTAATTTCAGCACAAATATTCTGGAATATAGAAAACAACTCAGAACGATCTTTCATTAAGAAAATCCAAGTATATCTTGAATGATCATCAATGAAACTAACAAAATAACGAAATCCCAAGGTTGAACTGACTCTACTAGGACCCCATATATCAGAATGAACTAAAGAAAAAACAGACTCTGCATGACTCCCAATACTACGAGGAAAGGAGGCTGGGGTATGTTTCCCAAGCTGACATGACTCACACTCTAATGTAGATAAACTAGACAAACTAGGCACCATCTTCTGAAGCTTGGATAAGCTTGGATGTCCTAAACATCTGTGGATTAGGTCTGGAGGATCTATAACTAGACATGCCTTGGAGGAAGTGAGTGAGTTAAGGTAGTAAAGGCCTTTTGATTCAAGTCTTGTTCCAATCGTCTGTCCCGTACTGCGGTCCTGCATAATAAAAGAATCATCAATAAAATATATACCACAATGGAGGGCACGAGTCAAACGACTATCATATGCAAGATTAAAAGGACAGCCAGGGACATAAAGAACGGAATCTAGAGTGACAGATGGTAGGGGATTCGCTTGTCCAACTTCTTTTAATTTAGTTTGAAACCCATTGGCTAAAGTAACAGTGGGAAGAGACTGTGAATACGCAATATTTGACAAAAGTGATTTATTACCAGAGATATGATCAGAAGCGGCTGAGTTCACAACCCATTGTCCAAGAGCACTAGACTGGGAAACACAAGCAAAAGAATTACCAGCAGCTGAAGTATCAGTCTGAGCAACATAGGCTACTTGTGGAGATGTCTGCTTACTTGCTCAATATTGAAGGAACTCATTATACTCCCCCCCTTCAGATAAAGAAAATCCCTGATTACCTGTAGTCTCGGTCTGAGCAACATAAGCATTTTTGGGTGGGCAACCATGTAAAGAATAGCACACGTCACGAATATGTCCAAGTTTATGACAATAAGAGCAGTTGGGTTTAGATCTTCCAAAACGACCTCCTCCTCGTCTATTCTCCATAGTATGAGATGCCCGATTGTCCACTGTCTGGGATGCGAGAATGGATGAATCAAGTGTCTGTGATGAGATCACTGGGTGACTTGGTGCTGCAGCAAGATGAAGTAATTGAGAGAATAATTCATTAACTGTGGGGACAGTCGGACTAGCCAAAATCTGATCGCGTACTGAGCCAAGATCATTAGGAAGCCCAGCAAGAGTAAGAACTAGAAACATCTTTTGTCGTTGCTCTTGCTGCTTTGCAACACTAGCAGAAACTGGCATCAACTTCTCAAATTCCTCCATGACTGCCTGTACTTGTCCCAAGTAAGTAGACATATCTAATTCATGTTTCTTTAATTTGTCATCTGCGATATCACATCATAGACACGAGATATGTCATTAGTGTATAAAGTGCGAGCCTTTTCCCAAACCAAATAACATGTCTGGAATGGACGAAACAAGGGCATCAACTTAGAATCAATAGATCGTCACAGAATATTGCATAATTGAGCATCGATCTTCTCCCAAAGTACTTTGGCCTTTTCATCTCCTTCACTAGACTTCGTGATTAGATGATCTTGAACACCTTGACCTTTACACCACAACTCAACAGACGAAGCCCAAGCTAAGTAGTTTGAACTTCCCATTAAAGGTTCTGAGGTAATCATAACATCGGAATTGCCAGAACCCGGGTTTTTCGACCTGAAGGCATCGACTCCCAAAGACATCATTGGATTATCACCAAATAACATAAAGAGTCAACTGAAAACTCGCTGAAACAGATGAAGGAAACATTGTTTTTGCCAGAAAATTACTGTAGCTGCGGGAAAAAATCAGTGTAGTCGCCAGAAAAACTCAAAGTGGTCGGAATCAAATGAAAACAATATGGGTGGGGTCGGAATTGGTACACGACCCAACTGTTCTGAAGAAATTTTTTCAAAAAATGGCTGAAGGGTGCTGCATGCGTCGGCGCGTGAGCTTCTGGTGGCGCGTGGGGGCGCGTGGGGCTGCTGTTGCAGGAGATTTTTCTGGGGTTTGGTCGCCGGACAGTGGCGACTCTTGTAGTAGTGTTGGATTTTGCACAACACTGACAGAGACAACGCAGACGCAAACAGCCTTGAAAAAGTCACCAAAAAAAGGCTTCCGGTTACTGAATTCTCTTCCCGGAATCGCTGGAATTTATGCACAGCAATAAATCTCTCACAATTGCTCTGATACCATGTGAGAAAGCACGGGAGAAAATATTATTGATATTATTCTCATATGTTAAACATGATACAATGAGCCCTATATATATACATAACATGTCCTACTTCTAATACATATGGGATTAGGGTTATTTACTACTATTTTGTATTTACATAAATATTCTAACAATTTAATTTTTAATTTAAGATCCATTGATGAGGATCACGAATTTGCTATTTTTCTTGTTTGGTGACACGATGAATAAGATAGCAAGTCAAGAATTCGAATCTAGAACCTGTACTCTGATACCAAATTGATGTACTTTCAAGGTTTTGCACCTATCAAGTACAAAGAAGAGAGAAAAACAAAAGCACTCCGCTAAAGTTTTTCACAAAACTATAGAAAGCATTCTTCAAACTCACATTAGAAGAATGTAAGATGAAAAGAAACCTCACCCACACGTTCTTCAATCCCGCAAGACTGCAAGAAGCATTGAATAAAGGAAGAACAATGAAATAAAAAGTAGATCACGTTTTATTTCAAAGTAGATCAGGCAAATGTCGTCAACTACAAGTTCATTATGTGTTGTGTACACACACGTCATCTGTCAATTCAAATATTCAATTATCTTATCCGACATTATACAGCATTAGGAAAGAGATCGCCAACAAATTTAAATCCTACACAGAACATAGCATGCATTGAAAATCTCATTTTCAAGAGCACAACTAAAGTTACTGGCGCCAGCATAATGCAGCAAGCAATAAGACCAGCATTTTGAATACCAGATTAACCCTTCTGATAAAAGAGACAATGTAACACTATGTCAAAGCTTTTAAGCACACCTGTTGCCAGTAGAAACTCATGGGGATGAAAGTCTATGCACTGAATCTGCCCTTCGTGACATTTGAAATCGTGTAAAAGCTTTCCTGCAGTCAAATCCCAAAGCTGCCACAAAATTCAATTATTATCAAAATATTAGAATAATGAAAAAGGTGATTAAATGATCATACATCTACCTGATATAATGTCCACCATTGTTATCATAGAAGAAGATGAGTGCACATGAGATGAAGGGAACTACTCAAAATATGAGATGGCTATTACCGCCACAGACATGGCTATTGGCTTTTCTTTTTTTCCTTGACATGGAAATGGATAAAATAGAAAGATTAACAGAAGTTTATGTTGTCATCATCCATTCAACATGTTAAGCTAGCAATAGACTTATCTAACGCAAAATAGTTTCAGTAGTATGCAGCAAGTTTGAAGTCACAAACATAAAGTGAATGTTTATTAAGTTATAGTATATTGGTTTTGGTCAGCGGGTTATTTTGAACTCTGTGGTCCAGGCATACTCCATAAATTTCTCGCATGGATTATTTCATCAAGCTCTTTATAATCAAATAATTATGGAATAATTGGAATATAAAAGTGAGGGATCGGACCTTGACAGTATTGTCTTCCCCACCAGATACAACCCATCGGCCATCTGGAGTGAACCTGATGGCATTGACACCTCTACTGTGACCTTTGTATGTGTGGATACATCCTTTGCGTCTGATATCCCATATCTTTAGGTTTGTATCTAGAGACCCAGATGCAAAGAACTCACCAAAGGGATGGAAGTCCAATGATATGCAGTTGGATCGGTGTCCAGTGAGCGTACGAACAACTGACAGAGAGAGAGCGAGAGAGAGATTAATATATTTCTTAAACAACAGAAAATGATTTTTATTCCCAATGAAAAGTATTATAACAAGCATACTCTTGGCCTCCTCTAAATCCCAAAGCTTGATAGTACCACTTGCTGCTCCTGCAGCTACCAACACCTCTGAAGAATCAAAGCTAACTGAATCAATTCCGCTTGAATGACCTGACAAACTCTACACAAATACACAAAGAAGACCATGCGTAAATACATAGCCACCACATTTAATCTTCGTCAATGAAAAAAGAAACCAAAAAAAAATAATATAGCACCCAACTAAAGGCCTCGATCAGGGAATATGCATTATGCCCATCCAGAAAAGGAAAATACTGAACAACTAAAAAACAGCAAATTCGGCTGCACATTCTTAAGTTTCAATCCATTTTAATCGAAAAGCTTATCTTTCAATGCAGATAGACAAACCTGAAATGAAATAACAGCAAAAGGAGATGATAAGTGAGAAACTGACCAAGATGGCATTGGGCTTGCCAATGGCCCAAAGGTTAACCTTGTGATCTTCTCCTCCGGTTACAAGAACCCTGGATGACTTGCGTCCAATCTTCAAGCAGTTCACGCTTAAAGAATGAGCTACGAATTCCTCTATAACAAAGTATTATCAAGGTTTTCCAAAATATGGCTCGACTTCTTTACCTTTTTACCCAAAGAAACTAACTCAAAAATTAAGAACCTAATCAAAGCTTTTCAACTAATCAACAAGAGATCTATGGAGAAGGATGATGCTATTTTTATTCTCCATCCACTAGATCCAAGCAAACTCAAGGGTATGTCTCCACATTTTCCAGCATAGTAAACAAGAGATTGAGAAAATATCAATCTCTCGCTAGGATCAAAACCACATTTTCCAGAAAAAGCAAAAAATAAATAAAACAAATGAAAAGGATACGTAGCTTATAAGCACGCTTAGTAGTAGTCATGGAGAAAAGTCAAAATCGGGCTCGAGAATGGAAATGGAAACGGCTGAAAAACCTAGCAACGGCAGCGTAGAAGGCGAGAAATGCCAGTACGGCTCTCGTCATATTACTGAATCTGCTGAGAGCGAGACACGCTCAGGATCTCCATGAACCTCCTGCACATTTTCGCTCTCTCTTCAGCAACAACCACCCAACCACCGCCAACTACTAGTAGTACTGCAGGAAAAGGGCTTCTCTTTCAAAATGCTCCCTACAGAACCACTTCTCCAATTCGTAGCGTGCGACCCTGACAGTTCTGCCCTTTTGTTATTTCGTCCTTAGGTCTGGACTGAGAGTTGCAACAATGGCAGAGGACGGAATGGGTTTAGCAACAACGGCGCGTCCTTGCTCTACTCAATTGTAGCTCCAACAGCTTCTGATGGCTTCCTCTGAAGAACGATGGCGAAATATACAAGGAAGGAAAGAGGGGGAAGAGAAGAAATGGCGTTTTCTAGATCCCCTTTCACCATCTTAGGTAGACAAACAACAATAGTAGTAATGTTTAATCTTAGGAGTAATTTTTTTTAAAATGATACTCCCTCTTAATCTTGCCGAGTTTTTCAAAATAAAATATAAAAAAATAATATAAATCACAATAATTAAGATTCAAAATACTTATATTAAAAAATCATATTTGACTCTCGAAGTAGGACATATAGAATAATATTTTTAGATTTTAAAAAAAAGCAGAATTAATAATTCTAGTATTTCTTAAAATTAGAAAACCTTAGTAGCTCTGTCTTCAATTAGTACTTTAAAGGGCAAAGGTGTAGGGCGAGACATTTACCTAGTATAAAGTGAAGGTAAGCCTCAAGACATAGAGCGCAAAGGGATCTCAACTTATAAATTATTAAATTGCATAACAGCGTTGTAAAAATATGAAAAAGTAGATTTAAATTTCGTATAATAGTAATAGATTTTTAAAGAAGTGTGAGTTATATCAATACAAATTAAAATTAGAGACGTTAATATTTATTTTTACTCTGATTACTTAGTTAATTTTTTGCGAAATTATTTAAAATATTAATGATTTTTCATGTATAATAAGCACATATAATTTTTAATTAAGTAAAAAATTATTGTAAGTTAATAGTCGAATTCATGTTGCATATTTCTTCGTTTATTCGTGGAATGAAGTCAACATTTTTTGTTGAGTGATTTAGTTTTGTTTGAGGAAGTGAAGCAAATATAAAATATAAAATAACTGTAATGTAATTGTTTGTTATCATATTAAACTTTTGAAACTAAATTATTTTTATTTGCATTTTGATACTTAAAATGTACTTCTAAAGGTACTAATGGGTTATTTTAGGTCCTCCATCATTTTGCCATGAAAGTACTCATATCGACACATAAAATGGAGTTGCAGAGATAATTAACACAATCGTTATCCTCGTTCCCTTTCCTTGTTGTATACTCACACTCTTCGATATCACAATATTGAATTGTTCATGTCTCCTCGTTACATTTGTTATTCATATTATGAACAATTTTTGCTTCTATATATGGCTCCATACGGCCTATAAACACTTCGTTTGTAAAAGAATAATTACTATTGTTTTTTATTTTCTATCTTGTTTGTGGTCTTCCTCTAATCAATACCACAATATTAAACTCTTATCGTTTCCTCCTCACTATTTGATGGCCGCACAACATATGAACATCACTCACTTTTGCCTCTCTACGACCTATGAACACTCTTATTAATAATAAGTGGTTCTATCCTTGTTGCATACTCACACTCGTCAATACCAAAGTATTAAACTATTCATATCTCCTCTTCATCTTCTTTGGCTGCATTATGAATACCGCTAGCTTCTACCTCTCTACGGCCTATAAATACCTTCATTAATAATCGGCAATGACCATCGTCTTTTATTTTTCTATCCTTGTTGCAAGGTCACTCTTATAGATACCATAAATATTCTGTCATTTCTTAAATGGCAATTTATGTACCATACTTGTCTAGAGTAATATTATCGATTTACCTTTATTAGAGTTGCCTTGTTTTGCAAAATGTTAATTCGGGGCAAAAATAGGTATATTGTAGATCACATGTGATGATTTAAAGAAATGTTAGTGCTTAAACATATTGTGCATAGTTCATGAAACTTGCTTTTCAATAGTCTAATGTTACTCTTAGCCGACTTATGCAAGTATATTTTATGTTTTACCAACAAAACTCTTATGTAGCCTATTTTATTTATGATATGGAGGGGCACATATTTGATTCACTTGGAGCCTAATATGGCAGAGCTTATCCGAGCTACGTTCATCTGCCAACGTTGTTGCCTAGGTCTTTTTCTAAGTTATATCAGAGGTTTTGTTAGTCGACCAGTTCAGTCTGAACTTCAAGTTTCATGCAGTGCTCCAGGTAGCCATGGATTTCAGAAAACTCGTACCAGATAGTCATATTTCACTGCACCTCCTTCACGGGGTTCTTACAACGGTTATGCAAGTTGTCCGGGGCAGACTCAGTTCCAGCAGCCACACACTCAAAGAGCTTGTTATGAGTATGGTGATGTGGAGCACATGTGGAGAGATCATCCCAAGCTTCAGATGAGTTCACCTCAATAGGGTACCCAGGCTATGATTCCAGCTCCAAATGCTACAACACTTGCACAGCCAACTAGAGGTGGGGGATATGTGGGTAGAGATCGTCGTAGAAGGGGAGGCCAGACATGTTGTTATGCTTTCCCTAGTAGGACTGAGGCAATCACATCAGATGCAGTCATTACATGTATTATTTTGGTTTATTATAAAGATGCTTTAGTGTTATTCGATCCAGTTCTACTTATTCATATGTGTCATCCTACTTTGCGTTCATATTTCTATATGTCTCGTGATTCTTTGGATACTCTTATTTATGTTTCTACACATATTGCAGATTATATTGTGGTAGATCGGGTTTACCGTTTTTGTGTGGTTACTAATAGGACTAGGATACTAGGGTTGATCTTTTGTTTCTTAATATAGTGGACTCTGATTTGATTTTTGGTATGGATTGGATATTTTCGTACCATGCTATTCTTAATTGTCATGCTAAGACCGTTACATTGTCTATGCCAAGATCGCCTGGACTAGAATGGAGGGGTTCGCTTGGTCAGTTCCTAGTAGGGCGGTTTTCTTTCAGTAGGCTCAACGAGTGGTTGAGAAGGGATGTTTGGCATACTTAGACTTTGTTAGAGATATCAATGTTGATACTCCTACGGTTGATTCAGTCCCCGTGGTGAGAGATCCAGATGTATTTTTAGCAAACATACTGAGCATGTCACTCGATAGGGATATTGATTTTAGTATTAATTTGGCACCGGACCGTCACCCCACACTGGTTCCATTTTATCGCATGGCTTCAGCCGAGTTGAAAGAATAGTTGCAGGAATTGTTGGATAAAGGTTTCATCAGGCTAAGGGTTTCACCTTGGGGTACGTTGGTATTATTTGTCAAGAAAAAAGACGGTTCCATGGATGTGCATTGACTACATGAAATTGAACAACGTTACCATCAAGAATAAGTATCTATCGTCGCATATTGATGACTTGTTTGATCAACTTTAGGGTGCTAGGGTGTTCTCAAAAATTGACATGATATCAGGGTACCATCAATTGAAGATCAAGGCTTTAGACATTTCTAAGGCAGCTTTCAGGATCCGATATGGGCATTATGAGTTCTAGGTGATGTCTTTTGGTTTGACTAATGCCCCAACATCATTCATGCATTTGATAAACATCGTATTCTAGACTTATTTGGATTACATTGTCATTGTGTTCATTGATGATATCTTGGTATATTCCCATAGTAGAGAGGAGCACGAGCATCCTTTGAGGACGGTGCATCAGATTTTAAGGGGGAAGAAGTTATATGCTAAGTTCTCCAGGTGTGAGTTCTACTTGGATTCCGTGTTATTCTTCAGCTACGTGGCGTCTAGTGACGCGATCAATGTGGATCTAAATTGTATATGTTTAGAGTTTGCCCAGACATTATAAGACCATAGAGATTAGGAGTTTTCTAGGTTTGGCTAGTTATTACTGTCATTTTGTGGAGGGTTTCTCGATTATTGCAGCTTTATTGACTAAGTAGACTCTGAAGGCGCTTTATTCAGATGGTCTGATGAGTGTGAAGAGAGCTTTTAGAAGCTTAAGACTGCTTTGACTACAGCTCTTGTTATGGTATTGCCTTTAGGATCGGGGTTGTATACTATCATTGCGATGCTTCGTATGTTGGTCTTAGGTGTGTGTTGATGTAGGACAGTAGGGTGATTGCCTAAGCATCATGCCAATTGAAGCCCCGTGAGAAGAATTATCTAGTTCATGATTTGGAGTTAGCAACTATTGTACCCACATTTAAGATTTGGATTCATTACTTATATAGCATGGCTTGTGAGGTCTACGCTGATCATTAAAGTCTCATCATTTGTTTAAACAGAACTATCAGAATTTGAGGCAGCGGAGATGGTTGGAGTTGTTGAAGGATTATGATATCACTATTCTGTATCATCCACAGAAGGGTGATGTAGTAGTTGATGCCTTGAGTAGAAAGGCAGAGAGAATGGGGAGTTTTCCATTGATTCCAACTAGGGAGAGGCCTTTAGCTATGGATGTTCAGGTGTTGACCAATAGATTGGTGAGACTGGATATTTCTAAGCCGAGCAAGAGTCTTTACTTGTGTTGTTTCACAATTGTCCTTATTCGAGTGCATTAAGGCTTGCCAGTATGATGATCCCCATTTACATGTCCTTAAGCACACAGTGCAGCGAGGTGGTGTTATAGAGGTCACTATTGGTGATGATGGTGTATTGCGACTTCAGGGCCGAGTTTATGTTCCTAATGTCGATAGCTATAGAGAGTTGATTCTTGAAGTGGCTCATAATTCATGGTATTCTATTCATCTAGGTGCTACAAAGATGTATCGTGATTTGAAATAACATTATTGGTGGAAAAGGATGAAAAAAGATATTATTGGGCATGTTTCACGGTGTTTGAACTATCAACATGCCAAGTATGAGCATCAAAAGTAGAGTATTTTATTTCAGAGGATTGAGATACCAGAATGGAAGTGGGAGCATATTACTATGGACTATATGGTTGGATTGCCACGAATCTTAAGGAAGTTTGATGCCATTTGGGTCATTGTGGATTGGTTGACCAAATTGGCGTATTTCATTCTGGTTATGACTTCCTACTATGGAAAGGTTGGCTCATATCTACATCAGAGAGATTGTTCCCTTGCATAGTATACCTATTTCTATCATCACGGGTCGCGACACTTAGTTCAGGTAGCACTAGAGAGCGGTTCAGCATAAGTTGGGCACATAGGTGGAGTTGAGTACTATATTTTACCCTCAGATGGACGGACAGTCCATGCAAACCATTTAGATCTTGAAGATATATTGAGGGACTGCATCATTGATTTCAGAGGCTAGTGTGATCGGTTCTTACCTTTAACGGAGTTCGCATGTAGCAACTACTACTAGTTTAGTATCCAGATGGC